TTCTATTTCTGTAGTTTTACTCTTGAAACCGGTACAGCATAGGTCATTGGAATAACAGTTTAGATGCAGTGTCCTGTCTGGCAATGTGGCAATAAAAATATTTGTCTTGATGCCAATCAGAGCCCAATAGATTTTACTTTCACAAGTGGAGCAGTAGGGCTATTGCCATAGTGTTCTGCTTGTTTCATGCATATAAATTGCTTTATTATAATTATGCAGGGAGTTTTACAGTTTATATGGACACTGCAATGTAAATAGAACAGAAGAGGAAAAACAGAAAAAAAGGAGAAAAGATTAAAGAAAGAGGAGATAAAAGGGAGATAATGATAAAACATTTTCAGTCCGCTTCATCACCTGCACCAGATGTAAAAAGGACAGCACAACCAACAGACATGGTACAAGACATACAATAAAGTAATATACTATCGCTGAAGTAGTATTATTTAATCTGACATGTACTCTATGTTACCTGAAGATAAGAATATGGGCTTTCTGTCTGGAAGTGCATCTCTAAGTACCTGGAACCAAGCAGTAGTCTGTTTTAACTTTGAGGTTTTTCTATCATGTCTGCTTTTACTGCCTATTTACTTTGCCACTAACACAGCTAAACATCCCCACTGTGGGACAGTAAAGGGTACGTCTATTCTGGTCAAACCCATGTGCATAGGTGTGTACACTTTGCTATGCCAAATTGTTTGATGTCAGATGTTAACTCGCTGATTGTACCTGAATAGCACATACTAATTGAACATTTGCCACCTTGTTCTTTCAAAAGTTCTCCAAATCTAATCGATTGTAAGGACATTTCATCCCACACTCCTCTTCAGATGAGTACAAAGATTAGGTCAAATTAAGACCTTGTTAACATCATGTTCTTTTGAGACCACTGAAAGGATTCAGCTGTATTTCTGCAGCCTGTACTCTCTACTCTCTCTTTCCACTCAAAATGTCCTGAAAATAGCACAATTTGAAGTAAGAGTTTTATAGTGGAGGGTTTTGAAAACATCATGTTGTGCTGTACACAGGAAAAACAGAATCCCCTTGGATGAGGAATCCCTGGTTCATGTGCTGTATCACTTGGTGTTGGTGGCTTTTCAAGTAGCAAATGTACAAATGTGCATGTTGTAGAGTTTTTAAACGTTTTTCTCCTACTACTGGAATGGCAGGGAACATTTGCAACATTTTGATGTGAGTTGTAGATTCTTCTACTCCATTTTTCTCTCATGAAGTTAACCTTTGTTGATATGGATGTTTTAACTCATTATGATTCTGAAAGTTAAGATTAAGACCTCACTTTCTCCTGTAATTATTAACATAGAACTGAAAATATTACATCCAAATTAACTGGTGTTTTTTAACTATTCATAATTTAATCCACAATAATAAGAGTCTCAGTTTGATCTTCAGAGCATACTGCCACACATACCTTTTAATCTGGACATGGTGTTCTCTAGGTTATTTACAGTGTTGTTTTTGCCAAGCATAGCTTATAACTATTGTAACTGTTCCCATGCATTTAAGCACCAAAGTCAAATGCAGGAGAGCTTATCATCCAGTAGATCTGTAGTTTTCATGATTGGAATTTAGACCCTGCTGAGGGTTACAGATATACAATTAAACTAACCCTTTAGGATTTATATAATATATAAAAAAAACTATACATTTTGTGCTGGTGATGTTTCTACAGCAAAACACCCTTTCATTCAATTAACTGGTATTTAAACTAATAGCAGTAATCACAGCTCTCTTTCATTGGTATGATGTTGGTAGGAAGCTGACAGGTTTTGGAACCACTGCCATAGATGATAAAACGAAGGAGCACATGCTATCTGAACAGCTTGTTTAAATATTTCTCAGTACCCTTTTGTCTTTTACATCTCCACTCTTTGAGTTTGATTAAGCACATGCACAACACAGTAGGCTGTTAAGACAACTTACAAAGCCCAGGTAGAACATGACTGAAGGGGCAGGTTAACATTTGAAAGGTATTACCCTGAGAGCAGCTACTGATCAGGACAAATTAAAAAGATGAAAAGGAAGTCTGTCGCCTCTTGGAGGGAAAGAGCGCTAAACAAATGGAAAACATTTTCAAACTTTTGCACAAGTATAACAATTAAAACAGAAGAGGCATATTGGTTATTCAAATAATTAAAAATTTACCATTTTAATCAAGTTGTCTAGTCTTAATCTCCTCTATATGAACATGTCTTTGCCCTCATCATTCAATCATTAGTAAACTACTTAGAGTACGTTTAGCAGTAAGAGCTGCAAACCAACCTTGCAAAAGATCAAAAAGTTATTTTCTATTCTTGCAATTAAATTAAATCTCATTTTTGTATTTAAATTTGGCACTGTTTCTAACTGTCCCTCTGAAGTTTTCCATTTCTGACAGCTCGTTAGACTAATTTTCTGCCATTTCACATTCTGTCTGCCTTGTCCCTGCCAATACAAAACAGTAACACATGGATTTACAACCACAGATCTTCTTTGAACATCCATATGTGCTTAACATAAACATGCAGGCTCAATTATTCCGATTTACAGTCCTGATCTCCTTCCAGATACATATGCAGTCATATAGCCTTCAAAGGCTCAAGTGACAGGAGTTTGGCTGGAGCTTGTGTTGAGTTGGAAGACGAATCAGATGTCTAATTTACTGGCAAAAAAACCCCAAAGATCCCTCACATTAAGAGTACACTTTGTAAGCAGACTAACAGGATGATAACTGGGCTAACCTTACATTTCTAACCAGTGTTCTTGTAAAGCAGATTTGATTAAGTAGGTTGAGGAAGATCTAAGAAAGTCTTCATACTGGAATATTTTTTCTTAGCTGTTCTGCAGTTCATTATGACACAAGCTCATTTATGTAACAAATTTCTGATGGACGCTCACTTAAAAGTAAATGTTCTATACACCAACTTTAGGAAGGTTGTCTCTGGAGTTGTGGCCATGAAAGTGAAAATTGTGCAATTTAAACTTTGATCTTTTTTAAATCTTACTGTAAGGTTTTTTCACCCTTTAACAATAAATAAATACAATATGTTAAAGAAAAAGTGAACTAAATTGAATTTTTATTTCTATTTAAAGAGAGAAACTGCAACATTCTTTGGGGCCCTTTTTTTCTTTTTTTCTTTTCTAGGCATAAAAGCAGCATTTACTCTCTTCTCATCAACAAGAGCTGCTTTACATTTCAATAAATACAATTTTTCATGTTAAGATTTTTCTTTACATGCATAATTTTTCAATTGCCGAATCAGTGAGGGTTTGGTCCAACAATATTGAAACAGTGTCTCTTAGTTTTTATTTATTTATTTTATTTTTTTTATTTTATAAACTCTAATAATCCCAGAGGGAAATTACTTCTCTGCATTTAACCCATCCCCTTGGGGAACCGCGTGTGAGGCGAACGTGATAACCACTACACTACGGAAACCTATATGCTAAGCTAGTTTGCCAAATGTTGTGCTATTTTGCAGATTAGATTAAGGATATAAACTGGTGATTGCTCGTATTTGACAGTTATTCAGGATATTTTCCTTATTAGAAAGTCCCCCAACATTAGGCATGTGAGAATCAAAATAAGCTTAAATTAATGAACTATAGAAAACAGAAATATTTTTGTAAATATGCACATAGTATACAGTGTTTTTACAAAATAGGAATAATAGTTGGGTTTATGCAAATAAGCATGGTATCGATGTGCTACTGTATGGGCCTGAGCTTCAAAAATTCAAAATAAAAAGCACTATCTTCAAGTGTCATTTTTGGTTTTTTTAACAGAAATTTCTGCAAAACTGTTAGGATGTGATAACTTGTTTGGTTGTGCCCTGGGTGACAGTGGCATCAGATGGAGCAACTAGAAAGCTACCATAAGGTCTTTATGGTTCAGACTCTGGTTCTGGTTTTTGATGGGGCTATGTCCATTGTAGCTGTGGCTACATTGCTTCATTAAAATGAGCAGATTGCATTTGACTCTGGCAGTTTGAGAGCAGCTGTAAAAGAAAGATTAGGTTCAAAGCCATGTAGCTGGAGGTAATAAAGATGATTAATAAAATAATAATAATAATAATAGTACATGATAACGTTTACCTTGGAACCCTATTGCAGAGTGCTACAAACAAAAATAAAAAAGATAATAAAATCAAGAAAATAAGTAAAATAAACTGAACGTGGAATAAAACAGGAGAAAGTTGTCATTACCTGCTGCTGATTGATTTTAATAATTCAAGGGAGAAAAAGTGACTTTAGCTATAGAGTCAGTGCTGATGAAGCTATTAAATAGGGATAAAAATCGCCATATAATCAAATTTATTTAACAAGTCTGTGTGTTAGCTTGACATTGCATCATATTGATCAATCATCAAGATCTTGATTTAAAACAGCTTTCTAATTAACTGTGTTTATCTGTTAACATTCTGACGCTGTATGACTTGAGTCTATCCTTAAGATGACTCTGTACTGAGATGTACATTTTTTTAGTAAGCTCTGGAACTGTTAAAGCTAAAGGTCTGAAATTTCTATATCTGTAGCTGACATGATGTAGAACAAATGTAATACAATGAGACATGCCTATTCTCAAGCATGTCTTTATTACTGATGTGCAAAAAAGACTTATTTTCAAGAAGAAACAAAAAAAATTGAGTCATGTTTGAACTGATTCAGTTTAGGCTGCGTCTCAGTAACACTATTTTCAATTATAATTTTTAGAAACTAGAAGGTGTTAGCTTTCAAATGATGTGTCACACATGTAATATGGGCTTATAGTTCCTCAGTTATTTGCTTTTCTATTTGGGTATGCAAAATAGGCAAGGATTATTTAAAATTAGATGGGTTTTAAGAGGTTAATTCTTTAATCAAGACATCGCTACATTTGCATAACTTTACAACCCAAGGTGTTAATAGCTTATAAATATAGGCTAAAATCTGAGTCAAGTTTGCGATTCTTATATTACGATCGTTAGAAGAACCTTACTCTTACAACTGTACTTTTTCTCCTTCAGGTGCGTAACTTGTGCTACATGGTGACACGGAGGGAAAAAATGAAGCACACCCTCAGCGACCTCCAGGAGAAGATCTTCCAACTGCAGATCCAGCTGCTAGAAGAAGAAACGGCAGGAGGTAAGGAATGAAATAATGCAAGCAGGTGTGTGTAGAGTGACTGATTGAGGCGCTAAAATGTCAAAACCCTCTCAGTAATAATGGTGCCAGAACCACCGATGTAGGTGGACAGCTGCAAAGGGCTTTTTATCATGACTGCACAGCAAGCTACTCTCGAAACCGGTACAGCATAGGTCATTGGAATAACAGTTTAGATGCATGTTGGCACAAACCGAGGCCACATTAAATGGAGCTGGATTCCCCTCTAATTTACACAGACTGCTAAGCTAAATGTGTTCAGTGCAGTTAGGTTGTAGTAGAGAACAAAGTGGGTCAAAATGTGCTTGGAGAGTTGATGCTGCTTTGTGTGTCAGGTGTCTATTCAAAATTTATATTATGGTTTTATTAAGATACTCAGCTTAGATTATAAAAACATTTCACTATTTTATATGTTGCTTAGGTGTGTAGTAACAAAGCCTTTAATGTTAGAATCTTTTGAGGAATTAAATGGCCAGACTATAAAACAAAAAAGAAAAATGGTTCAACTGTTTTGTTAATAAGATTTCAGCCTACAGAGCAGCTTTAGTTAGGAAGATGTGGATTAAGGTGAACATTAGGGGTTGGCTTCAAGCCTAATTTAAGAAACAGAAAAACAGTAAAGTTTCTGTTTTGAAGAACATTCAAATATGTTTTTCCCACAAACGATTTCTATCCGCCATTGTTTTTTTTTGTTCCGTTACAAGAAAAGGAAAACCAATATTTTATTGATTCCTAAACATTAGAAGCTGTCCGTGCAGCAGGCTGAAGATACAGTCTTGCTGACTCTAAATTAAACCATCTTCATATTGTAGAGTTGAACATATGGAATACCAGAAAACTGTATGAACTTTGCCTGTTCGAAAATGTTTTGCTTTTTACTTTAGGTTCACAAAACTGTCATGCGTTTAATACAATTGAACATAAACCAGAAACTACTATTCAACCCACACCGTAAATAAAAACACTAAGCACTAATGCCTCAGCTGTTTAAAAGGTAAGGATTCTTGGAATTTTACAACCTTGTGTCATCCAGACAGGTACCAAAAAAAAATATACAGATTCCATCTTGATCAGCTTGAAAATGGTCACAATTTCAATAATGGATTAGAAAAACTAAATTCTAGTCTTCCGGAATTTTTTAATGCCTAACTGACCTAGGTATGCGCTGTTATTATTTTTGGGCCTATTCTTTTAGCTGATATTACTTTTCTCCCCCGTTTACCTGATAAAAATGACACAATGATGGGAAAAGCTATGCAAGTCCCATTTAGGAATAAAAGTAACGATTATCAACAAACTAATCTTTATAAATGGATCTGAAATGTAGGTAAAACGTAGTGCATGCATTTCACGTGATCTAAAGACACGGCTGCTGAATGTGCTTATGAGTCAACCAATGCCTACACATTTTAGCCAGTACTGATTCAAGAAAATAAACCACGCCTTACGTGCATGTTTGAGTTGTTAGTTGGGCACATACAATACCAGGGGGCCCAAATATATAACACACTTAGTGCTTGTTCTGTCTCTATGCGTATGTGGTTTGATTTCCATGCCCACGCAGTCTACTGTACCTCTTCCTCACATGTGGACCTGTTTCTGCTCATTCCTATTAAATTTTCATAATTTGAAGGCATTTCCTACTGGACAAAGCAAGCCGCTTTTGATTGGCTACTTTTCGAGAAAACCTGCATCTTGAATTGTGGCGCGTTGCCAGGGTAACCGGCATAAACTGTCTTAACATTTCCAGGTAATGTTCTAGCTAGCAGAAACTATTGGGCTATTTTACCGGAACTGTTTTTCTAGGTGTCCTATAAACAATGTTATGTTAGTTACTGTTGAAAAGTAACTAATCATTTTTTTCTCCAAAAAAGTTAGTAACTCAGTTACTGCTCAGTGAAAGTAACTCATTATGAGCCACAGTAACAATGTTGGTATTTTTTATTATCTGAAGTGTCCTGCTATTGGATTTTAAGTACAACTAGAGAATAAATTATGCAATATAAGATATTTGTTATTATTTGATACATTAAATAATTAAAAGGTCAAGACATCTGAAAACATTAAAAACTAATCTACACTATTTTGGTGTGCATGGTTTCACAAGTGAGTTGCTTATATTGCTTATAATAAAAGAAAAAAAAATATTTTGTTTATAAAGCAATTTAACAGAAATAAAATTATTTAAAAAAAAAAACCCTAGCAGGTCTGTAGGATCCCAGGATTTTTGTGTTAACAAACATGAATCATGCAAGCAAAGTGGTGGTCTAGTGGTCAGAGCATTGCACTTCTGAGTTCAAGTCCTACACACTCCCAGGAACTGCCACTCTGGGTTCCTGAGCAAGACCCTTAACCCCAGACTGCTCCCACAAAGTTGGAAAAAAACAAAATCCTTAAAGCGCTGAGAAAGTAAAGAATGTGTGTTGATTACGATCAACAGCTGTCAGACAGTGCTGAGATGATGTAAGGAGCATCTTTAAATACCAACTTCTAACCGATGTTGATAAAGTCTTTGTTCCTGATAATAATTAGCAAAATACAGAAATATTTATCCTTCATTGAATGTTTTTTCTGTAGGAACCCTGTCATTGAATCAGTGGCTCTGCCATTGTCTCTCCTCTGTGCTATTGCTAAAGTTGTGCATTGCTGTTGCTTGTCCCACTTGTGCATACACGTGCACGTTGCTGACACATGCACTCTCACCAGGAAACTGTTGTCCTCGTTTATACACGGTAACAAATAATGAATAAGCCAGTTACTGTAAGCCGTTACATAGTAACATGTTAATCCTAACCCTGCCTACAGTATAACCCTTTTTTTACCGTCACCCTACAGCCAATCAGAATCCAGTATTCATCCAGACCATGTTATATCTAATGACTTTGCTCACTCCCTTCCAACTCTTGAGAAGCGGTTAACCTGAGGTTGCTTTGCTAGTAAGAAAAAGAGGACAGCCTCAAGATGCAGGATTTCCTGAAAAGTAGCCAATCACAGACAAGTTGCTTTGTCCGGTGGGTAACGGCTTCACAGTTGACATAAGTGCACAGACACAGGTCCACACGCGAGTTAGAGAGAATCTATAGGAGCATAAAAATGAAACCACAGGCACAGAAAAGGACTCATGGTTATGATATATTTGGGGCCTCATAGCATTACATCTGCATTCACAGTACATTCCAAATGTGCATGGAGAGTAGTTCACATGCATGTGTTTTAAATAAAACTGCTCATGTGAGTTTTTTTTACACGTATTGACTTTTGGCAGAATTCGGATGCAGTATGCTTCCTTTAAAGAAATGGGGATAGGTCTATGGCCTATGCAAAACATGTTACTGGTATTGTTTTTGTACAGATAATGAGATTTAACCTCCTTAGTTTGGCCTACTTTGAGCTTCTTTTAGACTAAGTTGTTTCACCCCCAATAAAAGCATTAAGCTCTGTCACTTTTTTTGCAAAAATCTGTATACTGCACTTTATACATTTTGAAAATGGCTGCAAACAGCTGTACTGTTACAGTTGTATGTCTTTTGCCCTGATACAGGCCAGGAAGCCAAAAAATTAACGCCTCATGCACAACCAGCAAGGATGGAGCAAGTGTTCTTTTAAATAGTAAGAAAGAAGTCTTTACTACAAGGCGGTGACATATTTATCTGTAGGGTTGTTGAAAGGGGTTGTTTCCATGCCCCATAAAACATGTACATATTGCAAAAAAATTGATTGATATTGTTTTGTTTTCTGCAGATAAACCAATCATATTAGAGGGGTGCCTCTAAATATGTAATTAGAAAGTACTTGCATAGTATAGAAGCAGCAAAGACAAACACTGAAGTAAATAATAAAAAAAAATACAGCAAAACATTAATTTTTGCTTTGTCCGGTGGGTAACGGCTTCACAGTTGACATAAGTGCACAGACACAGGTCCACACGCGAGTTAGAGAGAATCTATAGGAGCATAAAAATGAAACCACAGGCACAGAAAAGGACTCATGGTTATGATATATTTGGGGCCTCATAGCATTACATCTGCATTCACAGTACATTCCAAATGTGCATGGAGAGTAGTTCACATGCATGTGTTTTAAATAAAACTGCTCATGTGAGTTTTTTTTACACGTATTGACTTTTGGCAGAATTCGGATGCAGTATGCTTCCTTTAAAGAAATGGGGATAGGTCTATGGCCTATGCAAAACATGTTACTGGTATTGTTTTTGTACAGATAATGAGATTTAACCTCCTTAGTTTGGCCTACTTTGAGCTTCTTTTAGACTAAGTTGTTTCACCCCCAATAAAAGCATTAAGCTCTGTCACTTTTTTTGCAAAAATCTGTATACTGCACTTTATACATTTTGAAAATGGCTGCAAACAGCTGTACTGTTACAGTTGTATGTCTTTTGCCCTGATACAGGCCAGGAAGCCAAAAAATTAACGCCTCATGCACAACCAGCAAGGATGGAGCAAGTGTTCTTTTAAATAGTAAGAAAGAAGTCTTTACTACAAGGCGGTGACATATTTATCTGTAGGGTTGTTGAAAGGGGTTGTTTCCATGCCCCATAAAACATGTACATATTGCAAAAAAATTGATTGATATTGTTTTGTTTTCTGCAGATAAACCAATCATATTAGAGGGGTGCCTCTAAATATGTAATTAGAAAGTACTTGCATAGTATAGAAGCAGCAAAGACAAACACTGAAGTAAATAATAAAAAAAAATACAGCAAAACATTAATTTTACATAACCTGTGTCCTTTAACGATTCACCACAATTGGTGGCGTTTTCTATCCAGATATCAATATAAGTTGATCGCCTTTGGTTGGTGATCAGTCCAAAATGGATGCTTGATGTGGGGTATCAACACCAGCTTCTGAGAGCAAGAATAGGTCTCATTTTAAAAGGAGAAGAGCCCCCTGGTGTTCGTTTCGGCTGTGGGTTTCACCAACAAAAATCCTAATAATGAGCTATGACTTTCTTAAGAATCAAAT